TATACTTACCTTCTAATTAGTGCTCTTCTCCCTTAATCTTTCCGAAGATTGCAAGTGTATTTTTATGTCTTCGTTTAGATTTCATAATATGTCAGTATTTCAACCGCCGTTCGGCATTATTTCATGGGGGGAGGTTCTAGAACACACATGATTTTCTCTTCTAGGTAAAATTGATTTATGTGTGTGTAAATTTATAATGATTGAAGTTCACTTGAGTAGTTCAAACAAGTGTCCTCGACTTGAATGGATTTCAAAATTTTCAAGAACTTTTAAAATTTACAAAAATTTTCAAAAATGTTCAAACTTATCAAAAAATTTCAAAATTCTCAAAAAAATTAAAAATTCTCAAAAAATTTAAAAATTTTCAAGCTTGCCAAAAAAATTCAAAGCTTTTCAAAATTTAGGACTACGGTTCGGAAAGTTCCAGCAATTTTTCTTAATGCCCTATGTCATGCACCACTAGTTCATTCGAAATTTGTCTATATTCGTATGTTAGTTTATTAGTTGTAACCTCCAAATAGAACTTTTCCAAGAACTTTTAAAATTTACAAAAAATTTCAAAATTTTCAAAAAAAAATTCAAAATTTTCAAAATTCGCAAAAAATTTCAGTTTTTTTCAAAAAAGTCAAAATTTTTCAAACTTATCAAAAAAATTCAATGTTTTTCAAAATTTAGGACTATGGTACTACGAGAAGTTCCAGCAATTTTCCACAATGCCCTATGCCATGCACCACTAGCTCATTCAAAATTTGTCTATATTCCTATGCTGGTTTATCAGTTGTAACCTCCAAATAGATTTACCCAATCAAATCAATCCAAATAAAAAGTCCTTTCCCAATTATCCTTGCGGTTTCTCCTCCCAAAAAATCATGCAACCGGCGGTCGTCGTAAAAGTCCGCCTCTCGTCGTACTCGAAAAGCGTGGCGGTTCGGTTTATTATGATTCTCGGCTACGATTTCAGTGGCTCTACAGGAGTCTAAGCGAAAGGCGCGCAGTGACTGCACAACGACGATAGGGACCGCCGTTGTCATGTGCGTCATGTCAAACGATACAGTGACACGTGCAAATCATTCGCAATAGATTGTTCGGAGAATTACTGATATATGTGCTGGTTTTTGTGAAATAATAATTGTAATTTATGATATATTTTTGTGATTTGTTTTTTTTGTGATAGTAATAAACAGTGTTTGTGGTTGTACTTTCTTTGTCTGGATTATATTGAAAAGGAATCATAAAGTAAGTCTTGTGTGAAAAATATAATTCAACACCTTTATTGGCTCAGAATTAAAATTGATTTTTAATAATAATAATTATTATTTCAATTAATTATAATTATAATTACTTCCCAAAAACGCAGAAAATCTAGTTTTTCTCCACCATGATCTTCCCCTTCTTCATTTTAATTATAATTAGTCTTCCTCATATATATAAGAAATAATATACTATTTAAATAATATAACATAATACTTCTTAATAATAATACTATTAACACGTTAATCGTCACCATAATATCAAAAAAATCTTCATCGGGCCATGGTAACTTTATTAGATAATTTAGTTAAAAATGTATCAACCAAATTTAATTATTAAAAAAAATTGACAAATTTTCTTGAAAATCAGTATTTTTATGTCGCAACTTTTTTCTCAATGTATTGTAGTCAATGTAGCATTTTTTAGCGTCAGACACATATGACTGACTTGGTGATTAACGTGTTGATTATATTTATTATTAGTTTATATATTGATAAACATTTAATATAAAATGTTACCCTTTTTTATTCTTATAATTAAGACTAGACCTAAGGTCCTGCAGTAAATTAATTAAATTAAATTAAATTAAAATTAATTTTAATTTTGATTTTCAAACCTTTTTCATTTATTGTTGAATAACAACTCTAAAATTAATAAGCCTATAGTTAATCAATATTTTTATAATATATTAAATAATCTATATATTTAACATTTAATGCTAAGGGATCGTTCAAGTATTACGTAAACAGATTTAGTACAATTATTTACCCTCCCCATCCCCCTTTGTCAGCAAAAGTAAGCAAAGCTGTCACCAAAATAAGAAATCGATAACCCCCCCGTCCCCCTATAGTGCTTACGTAATTCTTGAACGTCCCCTAAAATGGGGGAGGGGGGTTAATTTTGAATATCACCATGTATCACCAAGGGGGAGGGGGGGTTCAAAATTCCTTAAAAACTCGCTCACGTGATTAGTGGACGCCTCCTTATCTAACAATCTCTGCTCATCGTTTTATCTAACGGATTTCGTATTAAAAAATTGCATTATTGTGTACATAAACTTGATACATTTTAATTTGTTAAATGAAATTGTTTATGGTTAGTTGGTTGAATTATTTTCTAACCTAAAACTTATTTTCATAGCTTCAAATTCAAATACCTTCAATCGTAGAACAAAAAATTCTATATATCAATCAATGACAAATTATTTAAATTTGGACTTATTAAGTTAATCCAAATTTGTTTATCCGTTATTTATTAATATTTAAAGCACTGCAATCAAATATTGATTTTTTATTTCAATTTGTATCGGTACCATTTTATAAACTGAATTATATACTTAACAAATCAGAACAATAAGAAACTATATAAATATTTGTATACATACAACTTGATGGCGCCAAATCATAAGGGGGTGCGAATTTTCAAATCTGTTATAACTACTTGTCTTTATTTTACATCATGTTTACTGCTTATACATACATAATGATGACAATATAATAAAAGCTGACATAGCAACAATAATTGATATAGTAACTGACCATCACAATCAATTGCATTATGATTAATGCTCCTCTTTGTAAAATTAATATAACAGATTATTAATTTTGGTCGTGCATGAACTGATATAAATGACTAAATACTACCCAGTATTATTCTTCCCTATATATCATTAATTACACATTCGTTTAAAATAATCCCAATTAATCACTTCGCATAAAATTAGAGCTGGAATCACGTGGAATCCCCATATTATTCTGCATCACAAACGAAATGAGCACGTTTCTGGTTTTTGTTACAAACGTTTCGTGTTATGTTACAGACTAATGTAGTACAATTATTGATTGTATCGTTTTTCAAACTGCATGTTCACTGGCACGTATTGTGAGCTGGAATTGTCGCTACATAGAATTGTTGCTTAGTTGGGTTATCAGTGAGATTGAATGTTATCAGAAAACAATGCACATGTGGAGAGAATAACTTACTTGTTGAACATTTATTGCGCTTGCAAACTAGTAGTTAGAGGTCTGGTGCTCGATTAGAATGCCAGTTAACTCCATAAATAATTTCCTTGGATATACAATTAGTTGTCATGATAACAAGACTAACTTTAAAAAAAAATCATGAATCCTAATATGCATTTCACAGTTTTTCGTACTCTAAAGATTACTTCCCGGTTTCTCTTCCACGATGGAGAATGTTATTAAATCTTCCTAGCTCTCCCTCCAACGTACACCTATATATCTAGCTATAGTTTACACGTGCAACAAGTGCTAGCTCAAACGAATTTATCATTTTGATGGCATACGGCCACTTTACAACGAACGCTGTAAAACTCAATTATTCATTTTAAAGCACTTTGTTTTTATGAAAGTTTCGCAATTCTTTAGTCTATTAGCACGCTTCTGAGCCGATTATGAGAATCGCAATGATAACGAGGCTTTCATTATTCTGATAAAATTATAACTGGTGGAAAAATGTTACAAATAGATAATGATATTGATGAGAATAATTAGTGGGGATTACTTTATTTCATCAGCTTTTATCATTGGGAATGATTTTAACAACCCTTCACACTGGTCACGTAAATGGTACCTATAATTTTTCAGCATGCACTATGAAAACAATTTATTTCCCAAGCATTGACATTATTATTTATCAATATTGCAATATTCAAATATCGAAAACAGGCTAAATAGTCCAGTCATTTGGTCGATTTGCCGGTACAGTACTCCGGGTATTCTGATAATTGGTAATCTTATAGATTTCGACGTGCTCTTTACGAAAATCAACTTTGCCACCTCAAATTTGAACGGCAAGTTGCCGCCATATTGGATAAATAGCGTCAAAAAACAGCTTTTTTAAAATATCTCCTTTCTGGCTTATTCTATGATAAAAGTATATATGTACGAATTAAACCAGATAAAATTTCCTACAATTCTTTAGAGAACCGTTTTTTTGTGAAATTGATAGTTTGAGAGTACGGCCACCTCAAAGTCTTTGCTGCTCTCGCCGTAGTATCAAATCTCTCCATATATGACAGCACTTTGAACTTGACCATATTCTTTCTAATAAATAAATATTTTCAATGTTAAATTAAGCAAATAAGATCTAGAAATAAAATAATTCGAATGTTTTTCTGTTATTTTGCTGATTTTTTAACACTTCAAGCTACTTACTTATAGCTACTTTGCCATTGGAGTGTTAAAAAATCAGCAAAATAACAGAAAAATATTTGAATTATTTCATTTCTAGATCTTATTCGCTTAATTTACCATTGAAAATATTTATTTATTAGAGAGAATGTGGTCAAGTTCAGAGTGCTATCATATATGGAGAGATTTGATACTACGGCGAGAGCAGCAAAGACTTTGAGGCGGCCGTACTCTCAAACTATCAATTTTGCAAAAAACGGTTTTCCAAAGAATTGTAGGAAATTTTATCTAGTTTAATTCTTACATAGAGACTTTTATTGTTGAATCAGCCAGAAAGAAGTTATTCAAAAAAAGCTGATGTTTGACGCCATTCTTCCAATATGGCGGCAACTTGCCGTTCAAATTTGAGGTGGCAAAGTTGATTTTCGTAAAGAGCACCTCGAAATCCATAAGATTACCAATTTTCAGAATTCCCCTAGTACTGTACCGGCAACAGCCTTTTTTGCACCAAATGACTGGACTAAAAATTAACCCTGAGATTATTTTCACATAAATAAACAAAAAAAAAAAAATTCACATGTTCTATTTTTTTTTCAGGTTTCAAAATAATGGCGACGGCGGTACTTCAGGAACACCAACGCGCTCCGAGGCGTCGCTCGGCGTTCGCTTTTCACGCGGCCACGACCACGCAAGCTGACACCGGCAAGACGTTGTCGACTCAGCTCACGACGGGCCTGAGGTCCACCAGGCGTAGGCAGATTAACAGCCAAGTTGAAGAACCCAACAACAACAACAATAATAATAACCATGGCAAAGTCGACACAGACCGCGAAAAGAAGGTGCAGTGCAAAGAGCAACAGACATCCAGGTAATTATTATAAATATCAATCATAAAAAGCATTATCCCTTACCTGTTTGTTAATTCAATAAGATAAAGTATTATTCCGATGTTCGCAATCCATTACCCTCACTAATTTAATTCTTTCAGGGCCCGCATGCACGCGGCTTATCAGCCTTGGGTAATCCGCACGTATGGCGATTCGGCTAAAACAAAAACAGTGACATTGCGCAAATACTCTCGTATATTGCGAGCTTTGCGGGGTGAAGAAGCCAATCAAGCAGACAGTTCTAAGTTTCGCTTCTGGGTCAAGGCTAAAGGATTTCATGTTGGTGCCCCAGAAGGCTACGAACCCAAACCCGCAGACGCAATTGTTGGGAGGTATGGTTTGGAAGATACTCCGGACTGTGAATCACCTAAAGGTGCTGGGAAAGATCCGCCGCTGTATGTCCCGAATGTTGCTGCAAAGGTAGGTGGATTATTTACTGTTTGCATGATTTGTTTATTATTATTATGTTTGTCCGTGGTTATGACGATCTATGAAATGACCTCTTTGTAAAAAGATTGCGTGTAATTGGCGTTATAAGATGCTTAACATTTGTAGATATAAGCACATATCAAATAATTACGGCTAATCTTCATGCTCATTACGGGGGCAATTATGAGCATTCAAGTTTTTACACTTTCAAGTTTGATAAATGTTTAGAAATCTGATTAGAACGTTCGGAGAATCGTGTTAGATACGAAGAATCAAATGAGATTCCCTTGTCGGGAAAATTGCAAAACTGTGTGAACCTATTATGGGTTCTTTATCCTCGTTTAAGTTTTTGATGTAATGTCGAGCGATTAATATTTTAAATATTTATTTACATCTTACATTCACGTTATTCTTATTTCATTTAGTAGTTATTTCAGTAGTCGGTTAGAGCTCTAGACTCGACTTGGCAGTCCAGGAAACCTGGGTTCGAATCTTTACCTTCTTTATAGTCTACTACTTTTTATTATTAACTATGGAATAATCATACTAAATACAAATTATCTAATGGGATTCTGTTATAAGAATTTTATGTTACAAATCTATGACTGGACCATGATTCTAATTCAAGTTTTTGTTGTAATTTCAAACAAATTTATAACTCATTCACGTATTTCGGAGGCATATCAATTTTTCGTATTTGGGGTTTTTGCTATTTTGTTTGTCCTTTCTTGTATTACAAATAGTCATTTAAATTTTACATTATTTTTAATCAATTGGCGTTTTTGCCACTACCAAGAATATTAAGCTCAAGTAATCTGTATCAAATTACTGTTTTCTATGAGGGCAATTTTTACCCTTTTTATTGTCTACTACTTTTTATTGACTACTGGATAATCTTCATTCATTACGAGATCATTACGGATGCATTTATAAGCATTCTTCAAACTTTCACACTTAAGTTTGACAAATAGTCAGATTAGGACTATAGAAGAATCATGCTGGATATAAGAAAAATAGTAAAAATTGTGTTCTGATTCATACAGAGCTATGACTGGACCTTGGTTCTAATTCAAGTTTTTGTTGTAATTTCAAGCAAATTTGTAACTCTTACAGGTTATTCATAGTCACATCAAGGTTTTTCCATATTTTGAATTTTGCTATTTTATGTTTTATGTATCTTTGATATTAAAGAATCATCTAAATTTTACATTATTTTTATCTCAATGGCGTTTTTGCCGCCACCAAGAATATTAAGCTCAAGTAATCTATATCAAATTACTGTTCTCTATGAGGGCAATCTTTACCCTTTATGTAATAAAAAGTACATATTTTTGTTTATTAGCATTTTTGTCACTATACACAGATATTAACTGCAAGTAATCTAATCAGTTAGTTAATATCTAATTACTGTTTTTTATGAGGGGCATCTTTACCCTTTTTATTGACTACTGGCTAATCTTCATTCATTACGGATGCATTCATAAACATCATTCAAATTTTCGCACTCAAGTTTGATAAATAGTCAGATTAGGACTGTAGAAGAATCATGCTAGATACGAAGAATCTAATAGGATTCTGTTATAAGAGAAATAGTAAAAATTCCAATGGAATTCTGTTATAAGAATCCTTTGTTACAAAGGTATGACTGGACCATGATTCTAATTCAAGTTTTTGTTATAATTTCAAGCAAATTTGTAACTCTTCCACATTGTTCATAGTCACATCAATGTTTTTTTCATATTTGCAATTTTCGCTATTTTATTTGTTTTGTTTTTATATTTCAAATATCCATTTACATTTTACATAATTTTAATTTTATTGGTGTTTTTGCCACTACCAAGATTATTAAGCTCAAGTAATATATATCAAATTACTGTTCTCTATGAGGTTAATCTTTACCCTTTTTATTGCCTACTTTACTATTTCCCAATATATTAACTCGCTATCCGTCAGGGCAATATTTTACTCATCCGACGCCTGTTATTTATTATCCATTTCGCGTCCGTATTATTTCGTCATGCATGTCACATGAGCGTTTTGATACAAAACAAGCGCAGACACTGCGAACCCCATAATTCTCTGTGCAATGTACGGTTCAGGTCGCTCTATGGCACACGATTTTCTGTATGTGCGACTCGCACAGAATGGGAACGTGCACTTTGCCACCCTTAATCACTCATAGCACGCGCGCTCTCGTAAAACACACGTATAACACACATATAACGAACCGTGCAATCGGGGTGGTATGGTATATCAAACATTCCAAATAATACAACTTCAAAATAAGTTGAAGGTAAATGAAATATGATATTATGAATACTTATATATATTTTACGTGCGGCCTAAATGTACTTCATATTTGTTGTTTTTGCAATAGCTAATATTTAATAATTTTTTAAAAAAGCTGTTCTTGTTCAATCATATAAGTATTGCAATTGAAACGTTAATTTTAAATAATTGTTTTTAATTACTAACCTCCTTGAGATTGCATTGATAATAATTTTTAATCGACACTATATATATATATATATATATATATATATATATATATATATATAACTAGTGGTCCATGGAATTGTGCTTGCCGTACTGTAATTTAAAAATTTTATAGAATTTAAAACTTTGAATAAAAAATAGATTTTCTCACGATTGTTCTTGACCGCTAGCATCTTTGAAACCCTGGACCTGCCTTTGCCGCAAACTAATCAGCACGTCTCCCTATCAATAAAAATAGAATGTTTCTTTAATCATTCAAATCGGTAGAAATATCTAAAATGAAAATTTTTATATATCTTTACGTTTCTGAACATTTTGACATACTTTAGAAAAAATGTATGTGTGTGTGTGTGTATTTGTGGTGTGTGCATGTGTGTTCGGATACAAATTTTCGTCGACGATTTCGGGAACACGGATGAAGCGATTTGAATAATTCAAAAAACATTCGATTCGTATTGATAAGGAGACGTGCTGATTAGTTTTTGGCGAAGGCAGGCCTAGCCGTTTCGAAGATATGTGGCAAAAAGTGCCAAAAACAGTAACTCAGTTTTTAAGAGAACGGAGCGTCCGATTTCAATAATTGAAAAAGCGTTTTACTTGTATTAACAAGATGAAGAACTGATCAAATTTTCATAAAGGGAGGTCTAGCGGTTTCGGAGTCTAGTGAAAGAAGTAAAAAAATGACATCTGGCGGTCAAAATGATCATTAGACATATGCACATCAAATTATTAGATATTTTATAGAGATTTTAACAATAAGTATGAATTTTGTTTACATTACTATGGGTTCCGTACCAATGTTTATCCGTTAGACGGCAACGCGGCGCTTACGCGCTTCGATATTTCGTCTTTGTGCAGTTAAAGCAGTACGATTGCTTTGAAAAAAAGTTTAGAATTTCTAAAATATTTCAAAATAAATTTTTCTTCAAAAAGTCTTTTTTTTTACAAAAAAAAAAAGATGGTGCGGGAACTAGTTTATCTAAGGTATGACAAATTATTCTGAGACTTTTAAAACCTAAAAATATGCAAAAAAATCCCAGTTTACAACTACTCTGCAAAAAGTTAATGAGATGCTTATTAGTTAAAGTTAAATTAATTAAAGAGATCTATATCTCATTCCTCGGTTTAAGAATCTCTGAATTTTATATCACGCACAAGAAGCGGTGAAGAATGAGCTTGGACGGGGCGGTAGCGTATTGTGCTCGCGAAGCCACGTGTCATTAGGGTCAGTGATAGATAGATCGTACCAGACGCGGCTGAACAGTCCGTGCGGGTAGCAAAAGGTTCGGCAACTTAGAACTTTTGACACACGCCTTCGGTAGTACGTGTCCCGCAGGAAATAGGTGAGCTATCGCTATCGCTATCGGTCGGGTTCTCTTGCCGGTCGTGGGCCGGTCTGATTCTACGAATGGTAGGTCCCCTGTCAGATATCCATTGTTAAGTGAAGGGTGTGAGGGTCATGCCAGACTGCTTCGGATTGTACGTGTAAAGGGGATCTGGTTATACTGCGTGTTCGGTGAGAGCACTCAAACTACTGTACTCGGTCGTAGATCAAAAGTGGTCTGCGACGCGACGGCCGGTTTATTGTTTGCGGTTGTGTCAGTACATTAGCAAATTTCATCGTGAATGGGGAATTGATCATCAAGTGGGATAGGAATAAAATCAATTAGGAAGATGAAAAAGACTACAAATTGTTAAAATTTTGAATTTATATACATGTGACACTACATTATTTTTATCGGTAACTTTATTATTTAGCAATCAGAAATACATAGAGATTCCTATGAGCTAAAATGACAATATTTTAAGAGCGATGCCTAAGAAGAACTCCAATGAGAACTTCTCAGTTTTACAATTATATGATATTATATTATACCTAATCGAAGACTAAGTCTAAAGGCCATTTTTGTTTCAATCTCCTCATTCCAAAAGGTTGAGTAATGTCAACTATAAAAGGGTTCGAATGTGAGTCCAGTTTGCGCTAGTATTTTTCCTTGAATTCTTTGAACGTTAATTGCACCATTTTCATACTGAGGTCGCAGTGAATGGTTTCATTTGTCATGTACCACGGAGAATTAAGAATTGTACGTAAAATTTTTGACTGAGTTCTCTGCATTATAGCTATATTAGATTTGTAAGCACATCCCCAGAGCTCAATTCCGTAGGTCCAGATTGGTTTAATATTTGATTTATATAGCAGCAACTTATTTTCGACAGAGAGCTTAGACTTTTTACGCAGTAGCCAATCAAATTCTTTCATTTTGATCATTATTTGCTGCTTTTTTGTTTTTATGTGGCTTTTCCAAGTAAGTCTGCTATCTAAATGGAGACCAAGATATTTCACTATGTTCTGTTTCGGAATCTGGACGTTATTTAAATAAATTGGAGGACACGTACCCTCTCTCAGAGTAAATGTGATATGAGCTGATTTGGTTTCATTTATGCAAATCTTCCATTTGGCAAGCCACAATTGTAGTTTATTGACATGTTAAATG